TTTAATTCAAAGGGTCTGAAAATGAAGCTTGAAAATTCAATCTTTTCATGCAACAATTTTCATTATATACCTATCAATGTGCTCCAAAGTTCTTTGAAGTTCTCAGAAAGGTCTAATTAAAAGTCGAAATTTTACCCTTTAAAATCATTTTTAAAATTACATATATCAAGAAATTGATGTTAATTTTAATCTAACCATAGATGCAAATGTTTATTAACATGATATGAAATAATGATTTATGAAGCTTTGTAATGATAGGAGAATCTTAAAAAACTTTGTTTTGTAAAATGTTCGAAGATTAATTAAAGTACATTATATGTATAAGAATTGTGGAATTTCTTCAAAAGCCTGGATACCTACGATTTTTATTTTTAAAATGTGTAATTTGATCAAATTTGAAATGGAAAATGCATAGCAGGTGTTTTTATTTGCAATTCCTGAATATATATTTAATTTTACTATTTTTCTTCTATATAATATGATTGAATTGAAATATAAAGTTTGAAGCATTTTAATGGGTAAAAACATGCTATTTTGAAAATTCAGAGACATTTTTGTGAGCATTTTTAATTAGTTAATGCCTGATTTTCAGAACTTGTAGATTTGAGAACCTTAAGAAAAACAGAAAATTAAAGGGTTACAAAGAAAACAAAAACCCATCTTACCTTTGTCAAATTTGACAATATCCCCTTCACCAAATGCTACGGTTGTATCAAGGGGAGACTGGAACCTCCCATACATATACGTCCTCTCCTCTCTCGAGTCAGACACATTCATATAAAGGGGCTTTATGTTTGGTTTTCCAAGAACTTGCACAGCTTTGGAATCCTATCAATTATAAAACTTAATCTTGTCAACGTGTTTTCCCTAACAAAAATACTTAGGCTAATCAGCTTAAGGTTTATTACTTTTAATATGTTACTATCATTTAAACAAAAGGTTCAAAATTTATCAAAATTAATAGAACAATAAAGTAAACCAAAGTTAAACATTTAAATAAAAGTAGGTAAAGTAAATTGTCAAAGGCATGATTATAATGAATTATAGTTCCAAAAGCTATCCATTTTGTAAATCAATTGTTTTAAGGTTCCCTATATAGCCAATTGATATCTAGTTAGTTGACGTGTCAAAGAATTCAATTAATATTTTTTAAAGAAACCAATTATTAATTTTTATCACATTTTGCCTTTGTATCGTAATTAAATACAATTTACTATTGAAACTTTATTGCATTCAGTATTACAAGTATTTGTAAAAATATGAATAAACAATAAATGTTTAAAAACACTTACACAATGACAAGTTTCAATCAGCACCAATAGGCAAAGAACAGCGGTGTTCAACATCCTGATGAACTTGATATATCTGTTATAAATAGCTCGCAAAATATAGAACCCTTCCTCTTCATCTATGGAATTATAAACTATTATTTATAAATATTTATAAAGCGCTCATCATAAAGGGAGTTAATATTGAAAATGTCAAAGATGCATCTATTGGACACCTACTAAATTAAAGATTTATTTTGATGTTACAATGTCAATGATACGCATAAAATTGAAATCATAATTGAATTGAAAAGGCAAACATAAAATGTCTTGATTTAATTTCTTTGGTCATTTTGACGTATACTTCATTAGCAAAGATCTATATGTAATAAGATTTACTAAGTAAAGATAACTTCTCAATATTCAATTATGGTACACACAATGCATAGTCAGTCATATAATTGCTGGTACATGAAAATGTCAAACATTTAATTTTATCTCTCGGTGAATCAGAATTATAGCATCATTTGAAGATAATTATGATTTGTCGACAAATTATATAGGATATTTTGAACATAAATTCAGAAAAGGATTAGTTTAACATTTAAATTATACAGTGACATGGTAACATATGAGCAAATTTATGTCTAACGGCCCTTTTAATTTTTTGGTAGATATCTTATCTTTTCTTAGTTGTTTCTTAAACAGTTGGTTAAACGGTCTGTATTAAGATTATGTACACAATCATTTGTTTTAATCAGCCACAAGGTCTGATTCATAACGTCTTTCACTAGCTTCCCTATGGCTGGTGAACTGTCATACTTAAACCGGTCTCTCTGTCTTGCCTACCACTAAAGTACCACACCCCTAGCATTACGATCAGATGCACATGTATTTTCATCTTTGTCTCTGGAATAAATAATTAAGATGAATTTCACACTTTCATAGAGTGCTTTTTTGATTTTTACTTTAAATATTTTCTGTCTGACGTTCTCTCTTTGATGACAGAAAATCTTTTATTTTAGTTTTTTGTTCTAATTTGGATCTGTGCTGCTATACAAATTGATCAGTATGCATTGTTATATGTTCTCTGATTTACTTCAGCCCAGTGACGTTGTCAGTGTGAACAATGCCTCTCTTTCTCACTGTTAACGCTGATCGTCAATAAAAAGCCATAAAAGTATGTGATAAATAATATATTTCTAAACAATTACTTTAAACACATGTTCCTTTCAGAATGTTTTTTTAAAAAAAATTTCTTTGAAATTGTTAGATGTGAAGATCTTTAAATCAACCTCCTAACATTATTTTGACAAAACTTAATATTCATGTAGTCCAAAGTGATCATCGCATTAATCGTTAAATTGTACACAACAGGGCATAAAACACAAACCCCTAGGAAATCCAGGAGTGTGATCCGACAACGTGGATAAGTAATTGAGTGCTTCCTGTCGCTCAGATAGACTGGTGGATTTGATGTGAGAGAATAACCTGTTGTCAATTTATGGTGGGCAAACTATCTTAAGGATCATATGAAGAATTTGGAAATATAAATAAAGCTACAAAAAAGAAAATGAGATAAAGGCTTTCAAAATTCTACTCTATTTAGTACCAGCATCCATTGATACAAGTTACGAAACAAGACGTAGATGGGATGGGTACATTAATTATTGAAAATTATTGGGCTAACGTGACAGGTCAAACATATAAAACGAAAGCATTATAATATTTTTAAGTAAGTATGAAGTTCAGTCAATAAAACAAAAAACAAAACAAAACAAATTAACTGCACCTATTTTAATTCAACTTAATTAAATTGTTTTACGCTTTCAAAATTGATTCTATATAATTATAAATTGTAATTATAAGTAACTAAATGAAGTTTTATGAAGAAACTTACTTTAAGTCTTTTTCGCTTCCAGATTAAATTGTCACACCCATGTTTTTGTTAACATATAAAAATCAGTGAGATAAAGGAATATTTTTCAATTTAAAATAAGCATTTAAAATTTACTTAGAAAATTGTAATCTTCATAGTTACGAAGTCTAAAATCAAAATGAATCAAAATTATATTCGTGTAATTAAAAGTAAATGTACTTGTTTTCAACGGACAAGATCGGGTAAGACCAGTATTTGGCCCCCGGTTTTGAGTGTCTTTCAGAATGATCCAACAGTTTATCCATAAAAACCAGTTGTCACTCCTGCCACAAAATGAGTGTTGGTTTTAAGATTAAGTATATACAGAGGTCACAGTGAGGTCAGGAAATAGGCAAATTTTCGAAATATCTCCTTTTTATGCAAATTTTCATTAATTTTACAGCGTATTTTCGTTCGGAAAACTTAGAGCAAACGCTTGCCTATCTACCAAATTTATATATTTTATACACTGATATCAGATGCAGTTAAGGTGTAAAAATCTAAGATAGGCAAGCTTGTGCTCTATGTTTTTCTAAAAGAAATGTATCCCTAAATATGATAAAATTTCACCAGAATTGAGGAACGAAATACGCACGCTAACTTTCGATTCCCGCCTACATTTTTGAACTATTTAATTCAATATAAATAGCAATTTGGCTATAAAATATTTGTTAAAAACAAAGAACTGTTCAATGGTAATTGAATAATTGTCTTAATACCAGAGCTTAACAGTAAATTATCCATAATTCCAGCTCTTGAAAAAAGAGGGGTAGACGATATTTTCCACTAAAATCGGAGTTTAAAGCATCACCATATTTTGAAATAGTCTTGGAAATGATTAAATGTTCCTTATATCTTTTCTAATGTTTTAGACAAATAAATAAAACATGTATATCAATAAAATATAATGTTGCAAATGTAAATCGCTTTGAAATTGGTGGAAAATAAGCATTTTTATCGTATTTTGTCAATAAACATATGTTCCACCCCGTGTCACACAAAAAGCTTTGGTATGAATTTGTGAAAAAACATTCCAAATTATCTGTAGAAAGGAATTTTTGTCACAAGAAATGTATTGAGAAAAGTTACTTATATTAAAGCTTTTGACGTCAGGTAATTCACGGTCATGGCTTTTCATTTTAGGGCTCCGGGTGGAAGTGTCTTTTTGTATCGATCGGATAGAATTATAACTTTTTGTTCTTTGTTTTTGTTTAAAATTTGCATATGTATAAAATGAAACTTTCATTTAATGAAAAAAAAATAGTTTCATTTATTTTATGGGGGGGGGGGGGAGATGTTTTAAAAATATTTTTGATTTCTATAGTGAAAAACACAACTTTTACCACAATTTTAAAGTTATCTTTGTTTTCCCAAACAAGTAATGTTTTATGAAAATCCATATAATTATCTATAAAAAATATTAAAAATTAATCGAACATGTTAACTTTTGAAAATTGACTTGGAGGTAGGCGGGAGAACAATACTATGGTACTATCGTTCGCAGTTCTTCGGGAAAATGTCCTATTTCTACACCCTCTAGTGGCTTCCATGTAAGCTTTTAATCCGTACTTGTCTTAAAGTAAGCATCATTTTAACTTCTGAACTACAAACTATCACAATTTTACCAGTGTTCTGATTTTTATATAAATCAAGGGGCTAGATTCGGTTGTTACCTTATTTTGTCCTTTACGTTAGATAAGCCAATAGATGTCAATAGATGCTACTCGGAGCTTTAATGGACGTCGAACTTCTTTATCAACAGAAGTAAAGAAGTAAATAATGTTTAGTGAATATATTTAGAGGGACAAAATAAATCGTGTTTGATGTTTATTCTAATGATGTGTAGAATTGTCTTTAAAATCATCCTACGATTTCCTCCTGACTCATCACTCTGCAAGGAAAAAATAATTAAAACACTAGCACTTTTACATGTATAAAACATTAGCTATTAATTGTATAAAAAAAATGGTTCTTGGCATTTACATAAAAATACTTAACCTATTAATAAAGGTCAAGATCTAGTCAATGATTTTAAACTGTCTTTTTGTGACTAGATCCATTAAAACGTAATAACTTACTTAATTTTTCCAGAACTTTACAGTTGTGTACGTAGAGTAATATTTTGATGTAGACAAGAAAGTATTTTCACTGCATTCAATTTGAAATCATGCTAAAAGTAGCCCTGATATTCATATTTAATTTGATATCATTTTGAAGTACAGGTTTAGAAAATTGAAAAACTATTTTCTGAAAGACTGTAGGCAATATTGCTACATTTCGTTTTACTGAGATGGCAAAAAATTCCACAATTATTACATGCCATATTTGATTCTTTTATACGAGGGTTGTCCCATAAAATCGTGGACAAAGCGTTTTTCTCGAAAAGTAATGAGCGCACTAAGCTGAAATTTTCAGTAAATGTTTATTCATCATATTTAAGTGCATCATAATGTTTTTGATAATATACATACAAAAATAAAGATTTTATTCTGCTTGAAGGTGCACAGGGTACGGTCCTACGGCGCACGGTGAAAATAACAAGCTTGTATTAGAGAATATACAAATATTAATTCATAATAAAAGTTTTCAATACATAAGATTGGGGTGAAAATTATCCTATTTCTATTCCTTAATCAATTCTATCGTCTTTATGATAATTTCAAGGCATTTGGTTAAATTTTGGCTGTTTCCCGAGCATTCGAAATGGAAAAGTTGTATACACAATACACGAGAAATGGCGACGTTTCGTAACGTTACGGCGCACCGGAGAGCAATTCAGTTAGATTAGGATGTTTTAATGACACTTTAGAAGACTTTAAATGAATACGAAAAAACGAAATTATGAAAAATAACACCAGATTTTAAGTATACAAATAAAATGAACGTTTTCTTAGTGAAGTCTTCTTGAATGAGTCCCTAGATAGTACAAAACATGCGGACAGACTGCCATTGTAATAGTAAAAGACGCTGTCACTGTTGACCTTCGATATGAGATTCTCATTTAGTTGACTGATGGTGAGAATACTGTCCGTAACTTGCTCATAAATATTCAGAAGATCGCATAAGTGTGCCACATTGGTTCCTTAACTGGTAATAAACACTCACGTATGTAAATCAATAAAATTTCTAAATTTAAGTGGGGCTTGTCCAACTTTATTTTAGCAAACATGAAGCGTGACGCTGTAAAATAGACACGTCGACGTTATCATCCGTGCGCCGTAGTGCTACAGTACATAACATAAAATATCACAATTTGTTTATTTATGTATATATCTATTTGAAATTTGCTATGTTTATTAACAATATATGTACTAAAAAGTAGTGAAACTTTCAGAACGCAGTGATGATTATTTTTCAAACTAGACAACTTGTCCACGATTTAACGGGACAACCCTCGTATGAAGTATTGAAAATATGTTTTATTGTCTTGTTAATAAAAAATCTGAACCGAAAATACCTTATTTTACAAAGCAATATAAATAAAGTGCCATTAAACATGTTAAAGGAACTTGTTTGTCAAATTTGAAAAAAAAAATGCATTTTTCATTTGGTAGATCTAAGATCATTTATTTTTTTTTCAAATGATACATAAATTACGAAAGCAAATTCATGAAAATATGTATGCTGAGATGGGAAAAAAATATACTTACTCTTTTTCGCAAATAAAGTTGTTGATCATATTGCAAGGATAATCGTTCCAATGAAATCCACACCAAGAAGGCAAACTTCCGCAGTCCTCCTTCCCTGAATTGTCGGGCTGACCAGGGTTCCAATTGCTATAAGTAGGGGTGTTCTGAGAAGAAGTCCATACCCACACCCCTTCAGCCTGTATATCTGACATACCAATCCAATAGTTTCCTAAAATTAGATAATAAACATCTTAAAGAAAGCAGAGTAATACGTTTTCTGAAAGCTCTTGTCATTTGATTTATGTTTGTGTGAAAATTTGTCAATGAAATTGTTTCTTATCTCTTGGTCCTTCTTTTTCCTCAATTTCCTTTTTCTTTTCATTTAGAATTTTGTTGGACAGAAGGTCATAGGATTTTGAATAAGAAAACTATATCTTTATTCTTATTGGGTCAATGAAGGTTATGTGTCGTTACTTATACTCTCAAAACCTTTAATGGACAAATAATGGATAACCAGGTCTTTTATTCAGTATTGAAATCAGCCTTCGTTGAAAATATGAAAGTATATGTCGCATGTAGATCAACCTTTAAGTGACAGGTATATTTAAATACTAATTTCTAATTTTTATAAGTCGTCAGTCGTATGATAATACACGTGTGTTCGTAAAATTGTAAAAAAAAAACGATGATTGAATGCTATGATATACTTTATTTCTTGGCAAGGGCAGATACCAATGATGAATACAAACGATGCATTATTGAATAAAATTTAAAATGCATATAGTAACATTCTTTAATATTATTATCTATGTACGTAAATTTTTATTTCATTCATACTTATTGTGACTTTGTAGAACAAAAGTGGTTGCAGTTAATTGACTATTACAGTTGACTGTTTCCATGGACATCAAATCCTGTATCATCTACGGAGGTACAGAATTGATAATTGATTAAAAAACCTTTCTATTATTAGTTAGTTATGGTAATGGTGTTTGGGACATTTATATACTGTATGAAAGCCTGGATTTGAGGATAGGGTGGTTAACGTTTTTCATCAAGGCCAACTTATCTCTGCTTTGAAATAGCCCATTGTTTTCGTTGAACATGTTGAATTAAATGTTGAGCTAAATATTTATATCGTAAAAGTAGCTTCTGTACTTTGTCCTAGTGTGAGAGTAATACGTCAACTGTAAAAGTCAGCGCTTTAAAAAAATGAATTCCCTTTAGTTTTTACCTGTCATTTTGTGGTCCAACAGATACAAACGTAAAAATTCATCCTCAGTAACTGTTTCAATTTCCACTAACTTTGCATGCAGACTATTGCAATAGGACTACAAAGAGAAATATGAAAATTTCATCTTGATAAACTTCATACAAATTCTTCATATTTAATACTACTACAAAACTGCTAAACTTTTCTTTTAAAAACCTTCATAAAATAGACATTTAAGGCTTGATGCTTGCAATTATATATGTTTTATATATATTTATTATCGATAGAAAACACGATGTATATTGAAGAAAAATTAAAACAATAATATTTCAATTTGTATATTTTTTAATGATCATAAATTTTAGTCAAAATCTCTGAAGGGTCAATAGCAAAATTAAAAAAAAAAATACAATGCTCCAAAACTTATGCTAAAATGTGTTGTTCATTTTAAGAAAATGGAGATTCATATGAGTTGAAAAATATCGCAAAAGGCACATCAAACAAAAAGGAAACAAGATGTGTTTGAGAAACACTGATGTCCCCGTATGGCAATATAGCAAAGATTCATCTTGTCTTAAATGCAAATGTAATTAATTGGCACCAAAAGTAGGGTATTCTGACTGGTAAAACAATAGTGAATTTTTAAAGTAAGCCAATGTTAAAGTTTTTTCAATAAGTACAAAAATCTCCAAGCTCAGGTCTAAAGGTCAATGTAATTGATATCAAATGAAAAGTCTTATCACATAGAATACGTATGGAAGACCTAGTCCTAACCGTTCAGAAAATATGACCAAGGTTATTTAATTTAAAAGTAGGTCAAACTCCAAGGTCAAAGTCAAAGGGTCAAAATTCGTGTTATCAAATGATAGGTTTTATCACAAGAATTAAATATGTAAAGTATGAAAGTAATAGGTATAACCCTTTAAAGGTTATTCTAAGTTTGCTTTTTTAAAGTAGGTCAGTCGCAAAGGTCAAGGTCAAAGGGTCAAAGTTCTTGGTATGAAATGGAGGGACTTCTCTTAAGAATTACACAAATGAAGTAAGTAATGGCCACGGTTTAAGTTTTTTCACAAGTACAGAAATCTACAAGGTCAAGGTCAAAGGGTCAAGGTTGTTAAATCGAATGAAGGGTCTTTCAACAAAGATTACACGTGTGAAGTATAAATATCTAGGTTTCTACTGTTCGAAAGATATGGCAAAAGTAAAAATTTAAAATTTTCATGTAAAAGTGAGTCAAACACCAAGGTCAAGGTCAAAAGGTCAAATTTGGTGGTACCCAAAGAAAAGTCTTGTCACAAGGAATACACATGTGTAAATGAAAGTCATAGACTCACTAAATAAAAAGTTATGGGCAAGGTTTAAGTTTTTGCGGACAAACAGAGAGACAGACAGACGGACACGAAAAAAACTATATACCCCTGAAACATCGATTACGTGGGCATAAAAATCAAGCAAACAAAACAATCTTTTTAAAATTGCATCACAAAAAAGATAGAAATAACATAAGGACAGTAAATCATTTAATACATTCTCTAGCCTAAAGACTATTTTTGTACAATCTTTATCTGCAAATTTTACAATCATTAAACATAGATAAGTCACAACTAAGTTACGAAATTCAAAATTGATTGATGATTTACAAAGGTGCTTGCATCCTTAGGTCTCTTGATAAATTCTTTTATCGAGCGAATCGAAAACGTATGCCATATATATAATCGTATTGTTCCTTGGTTATGTAACTCGAGACGAACTGGTGAAAATTATTTAATACTCAATATTGAATCACACACTGTATCATTATAATCCACTACACTAGTAAATCCCAGTACATGTATATAAATCCCAATGTATCAATTTCATTAAGTAAACCTTGTATTTAACCTTTACCTTTCTTTAAGTAATAAACCCAATTCTATTCCAATATTTATTTACAGTTTTGAGAACATGAAAATTATTAAATTCAACCCAAATTCATTTATTCATTTATCACCTGCATAAGGAGTATATATATATCTAAGTTGATTCTATATGCAAGAGCATGTTCTACGTCTGAACAATTTCTAAAACGAGGTAAATCATTGAAAAGCAAGTTGATGAAACAAAAATATCAGCTCGTTTAAGTCATCATTTCGTAAGTTTTACGGTTGATACAATGACCTTGTCATCAAATACAATTTATCATTAAGTCAAATGCTGACTGATGTTTTTTCAGAGTTGTTAGTCCATTATTTATACATGTACACTGAATTGACGACGCGTTTCTCCGTTATTACCAGATCATGACAACGAGCACACGGCGGGTGTGACCGGTCGGCAGGGAATGTTCACTCCTCCATGGCACCTGATCCCACCTCTGATGTTTCGGAGGTTCGTGTTTGCTCTGATTCTGTTTTGTATATTGTTTTATGGACTTTGAGATTGAATACTGTTCGTTATTTCCATATCCTTATTATCTAACTTACATGTACCTAATAGTTTCCTTTTATAGTTATATGTAATTATCAATAAATACCTTAATATGTATTACAAATCCTTAATCTTTTAACCATTCACTAGAGCTACACCTTGTTAAATACTTGTGCTTATATTTTAACCAATCACCAGTGCTTCACCTTGGTAAATATTTATGTGCATTTCGGTGTTTACCAAGATTAACCTAGTCACCAATACACAACACCTTTGTAAATTTCGGTGTAAAATTGGTGCTGGTAGTAATTTCGAGGAATAAGAGAAGTGATAGCTGTTTAATAATTTATGATACCATAAATAATTTCTCCGAAAGCCCTTGGTGTGTGATAATTTTACCAAAGAAGATTTTGGTGAAATAAAAGGTGTCATTTGGTAAATCCTAACACAACTATAATAAATGTTTAATTACAAAGCCCGTCTTAAGGTAAGTCACTCCTGAAATTTTTTAAATCAAGGATTTTTTTAGGAGTAAATTTTGGATAAGTACTCATAAAGTGTAACTCAAAATCGCAAAGAAAATAGGGGGTCAGTGTGCATCCTACTGATCTACGGTACATTTTAGTTGACCTTTTTGCACTTAAATTGCATCTCTTTGGTTAATTACTTTAACCCTTATCATATTTAAACAAATCTTGCAAATTAATGCGCGTAAATTATTGTGAGACCTTTTTGCACTAAAAAATAACATATTTGGGGTATTTAAAAACTTAATAGGCAATAAAAAATTTTCTTATATCAAACTCTTTACGACTTTTAAGTACTGATCAGTCACAAGTATCGAGTAGTTTAAAATAATGAAAGAAAAAGATGGGGACAGTGATGTTAATTTTGAAATATTTGTCAAAATATGTGATTTTCAGGCAGAAAATAGTGTAAATTTGATCTTGACTTCTTTAATATACTTTCATTTTTTGGGAAAGTTTGATGAGGGAAGGTGTAAAACTTAGTCTAAATATTTAAATTAAGACCTTTATTAAATATTTTTAGCAATATCAAAACGGAAAATATTCTCCGAGTAAAAGTATGTAGGGCTAAATTTCCATTACATTAAATTTTATAAATGTGCAGATTTGCATAATTTTCTGCTAAATGTCCTTCCACCAAAAGAAAAAGTCTCTCATAAATCTTGCTTCTTTGTAGATTTTTGAGCAGTTTTTTCATTGAATGTTAAAAAATTTACATTGTTGAATTTAAATATGTTATAAAATTGAATTTTAATAAGTACTTTTGAAGTAAAAGCTTCTGCGTGAACTTTTCTAAAAAGCTGACGAGTGACTTACCTTAATTAACATCTTTGAAATGATCATCAAGTCTGCAGAACAATTAACAAATTGAACCCAATATATACTGGTCATTTTCTCAATGACAGTTATAAACTGTGGATTAATAGAGATGCTGACTAAGAAAACCCCCTACCAGACGGCACCCAACTGTGAATGAATAGAAGTTGGGAAGTGATACAAATCAACACAGAAACATTAAGCAATGTATTTACATGAACAAAGTAATTCATGACTGTAAAATCACATCATTAAGCAATTATCAGGATATAGACAGTTACAAATTTATCTATAAAGCTGACATATAAATTTGTTACACTTTACATATAATCATGTTCTTGAATTCCCTCAGAAACTTCTGTTTATATGCATATATGAACATTATCAATATGCATATTCAGTATGTCTATTGCATATGTATTAGCCAATGAATAAACAGGTAAATATTGCTCTCAAAATCAATATTATACCCCCGCTTGAAAAGCGCGAGGCTATACACTATACGGTGATCAGGGTGTCTGTCCGTCTAAACTCCTCTTATATCCCTGAATGCAATGTCTTTTTTACCTAGTGTCATTACGCATCTCTTATTATCTTTTTGATCGGACTCATATTTCGGTTTTCCCACAACAAAACCGATACTGCAATTCTTTCTATGATATTAAAGAATACCAATCTCTTATTCCCAACTCTTCCTTTACCACTGAATAAAAGTTGAATGATACTTTCACAGATTCTTTAATACATAATACCATTGTGACCTCTTATTAGGTCACCTGAGTAAACTCAGGTGACCTATTGCTATCCGTTTTCGTCCGTCGTCGTCCGTCGTCCGTCGTTCGTCGTCCGTCGTGTGTTAACATTTGAACATTTTCAGCTTCTTCTCTGCAACCACTGAACCAATTTCAACCAAATTTGGCACAAAGCATCTATGGGTGAAGGGGAACAAAAATTGTGAATTTCATGATCCCTGCCCCCCTGGGGCCCGAGGGGTGGGGCCAAAACCACTAAAATTAATGCATTCTTTAAAAATCTTCTTCTTTACTCCTGAACATCAAGCAGTCAAACTGTTTGCATGATTGTAATCAGCATTGAGTCCTTCACCAAAATTGTGAAATTCATGGCCCAGGGGTCAGGGGTTCTAGTGCTAGGGCGGGGCTAAATAAGTATATTGTGAAAATGCATTATTTCTTTGGAAATCTTCTTCTCTTCTCCTGGGGATTAAATAAACCAACTAAGTACATAGTTATGATGAGCATGAGTGCCTCTACCAAAATTGTGAATTTTAAGGCCCCAAGGTCAGGGGTTCTGGTGTTAAGGCGTGGCTCTATTGATTATATATAGTAAAAATACATGATTTCTTTGAAAATCTTCTTCTCTGCCCATGGGTATTAAATATACTAACTAAGTGCATAGTTATGATGAGCATGAGTGCCTCTACCAAAATTGTGAATTTTATGGCCCCAGGGTCAGGGTTTTGGTGTTAGGGCGGGGCTCTATTGATTTTATATAGTGAAAATACATTATTTCTTTGAAAATCTTCTTCTCTGCCCCTGGGTATTGAATATATTCACTAAGTGCATAGTTATGATGAGCATAAGTGCCTCTACCAAAATTGTGAATTTTATGGCCCCAGGGTCAAGGGTTCTGGTGTTGTGGGCTGTGGGGGGTGCTCTATTGATTATATAGTGAAAACACATGAATTCTTTGAAAATCTTCTACTCTGCTCTTAGGTATTTAATAAACCAACTAAGTAAATAGTTATGATGAGCAAGAGTGCCTCAACCAAAATTGTAAATTTTATGGCCCCAGGGTCAAGGGTTCTGGTGTTAGGGCAGGGCTCTATAGATTAGATATAGTAAAAATACATGAATTCTTTGAAAATCTTCTTCTCTGCTCCTAGGTATTAAATAAACTAACTAAGTGCATTGTTATGATGAGCAAGAGTGCTTTTACCAAAATTGTGAATTTTATGGCCCCAGGGTCAAGGGTTCTGGTGTTAGGGCAGGGCTCTATAGATTAGATATAGTAAAAATACATGAATTCTTTGAAAATCTTCTTCTCTGCTCCTAGGAATTAAATTAACTAAGTACATAGTTATGATGAACAAGAATGCCTCTTTTAAAATTATGAATTTTATGGCCCCAGGGTCAGGGGTTCTGGTGTTAGGGGGCGGGGCTCAATTGATAATATAATGAAAATACATTAAATCTTTGAATTTTTTTTTCTTTGTCTCTGGGTATAAAGCAGATGAACTACCTTCATAGTTATGATGAGAAAGGGCCCTAATCTTGCAGAAATGTGAATTTCAAAGCCCCAGGGTCAGGGGTGGGGTGGGGACTCTACTTATATACTGAAAATGAATTTATTGTTTGAAATGTGCTCTTTTGTATTAATAAAACATTATTTTTTTTATATTAAGGGTGCCTTTTTGAAATTTGTGCAATGTGTGGACCTAGGGTCAGGGATTTATGTCACAGTGTTAGGGGCACTACTGGTTAGTTGGAATGCATTTTTGTTCCCCCTACCCTGCATATGGGTATTCAGTAACCAAGCTTAGCAACTGCTAAGTGTATTGTTATGATGATCAATGGTGCCTCTTTCAAAATTGTGAATGTCATATAGCATCTGGTTTAAAACATGAATCAAATTCAATAACTGGAAAATTGTTGCATAATGCTATAAGGCCCGTGGGCCTCTTGTCTTACTTTGTGATCTGAAACTTTTCCATTGCCTCCCAGAGCAAAAAATGGACTTTGCCACTATAATCATGGGAGAGCGGGATGGTACGGATAAATGAGCTCAGTGCTCATAGTACCTCTAGTTATTGATATATAAAAACCTGTCAATGAGGTAAAATAAAGTACATTACCATGGCCACCATCCAATCCTCCCTGTCAACAGCGTCATTGACAAACAGATAACAAGACGTTCCCCGGTGTATCCAGCCCCGAGGACAGGAAGAAGGCAAGGCAGTTACCAAAGAAACTAAGCCAAAGTTATTAGCATGTAAAGCAATAAAATAGTTCCAAATATCTTTATTTATTAACATTAATTTTTGAATTGATACAAAAAGGCCTATAGGATTGTTAAGTTTCGGACGAAATTCAATATTTAAATGTTTAAATGAATATCTCATAAATTAAAACTCTGCCTCTATTTTTTTTTTATTTCATTATACTTTAAAATTTATCAAAAAGAGTTTATTTTAGAATAAAAAATATCATTACCTGCAAACAGAAGATTTATTGCTGTAATACTTGCAACCATATTGTACAAGAATTATGACTTTTCCTTATCTCTTTTGACATATAAAAGCCGATAAGTCATTATATTCTGAAAAATCTGTAAACTGTACAAGTATGCGGAGAGTGCATAAACATGGACCCTATGAAATCCCAGAGGTGGAATCAAATGTCAGTAGGAAAAGCGAACATGCATGTAGCTGTAATGCATAATTTGAAGAGATTTATGAAGCAAACGTACACTAAAAATTAAAACACTTTATTTTATTGAATTTGCAAATGGATTTGTGGCTTTTGTTTTGTTTTATCAGAATTTTTTATGGCAGGTATTTATATATCACTGCCTGATTTATGAAATGGTCCACTTCAGGGAGTCATCCTGCGTAATATGATGCCAAATCTGCGTTCTTGAGAAGTTTATTCCAGTCTTTTATGACCCTCTTACTATGTGCATCTTTTCTTTGCGTCATTTATGTGAATAAATGGCATTTTTTTCACTTTTCATACTGTTCTTATATTCTTTTAATTCATCTAAACACTAGCTAATTTGAATTGGTTTCGGGATCTAACAATTATAATACAGAAACATAAACTTTTATTTAGGTATGTTTCAATCAAGCAGAACACCTTGGTGTTCTGAATCAAAATTAAAGCAATTATGCATTATTATTGCGGTCCAGAATTGTATCTCCTTCGGTTGTTTTAAATCAAATGATTAATATTTACAGGAGAATAGCCTATTGAAAAGCTATCTCCCCTCTCTTTTGTCCTCTCTATCTCTCATCGCTTTCTTTCTCTTTAGAAATTTGGATGTTTTGTCATCAGTTATTAAAAGATATTCCTTTAAATACTCTGTGGTCCCTTATCAAATAAATTATTTTCAAAGAGGTTTAATTAAATATCTCCACAGTTTTAAAAGGCAGAGTTTAAGAAATGAATGAACACCAAAGAAACCAAAAATAAATATTTGGTCATTGTATTTTTAGGTCACCTGAGTAAACTCAGGTGACCTATTGCTATCTGTTTTCGTCCGTCGTCGTGCGTCGTGCGTCGTCCGTTAACATTTGAACATTTTCAGCTTCTTCTCTGCAACCATTGAACCAATTTCAACCAAATTTGGCACAAAGCATCTATGGATAAAGGGGAACAAAAATTGTGAATTTCATGGTTCCTGCCCCCCTGGGGCCTGGGGGTGGGGCAAAAACCACTAAAATTAATGCAATCTTTAAAAATCTTCTTATTTACTCCTGGACATTAAGCAGTTAAACTGTTTGCATGATTGTAATCAGCATTGAGTCCTTCACCAAAATTGTGAAATTTATGGCCCCAGGGTCAGGGGTTCTAGTGCTAGGGTGGGGCTAAATAAGTATATAGTGAAAATGCATTATTTCTTTGAAAATCTTCTTCTCAGCTCCTGGGTATTAAATAAATTAACTAAGTGCATAGTTATGATGAGCAAGAGTACCTCTACCAAGATTGTGAATTTTATGGCCCTAGGGTCAGGGGTTCTAGTGTTAGGGCGGGGCTCTATAGATTATATAGTGAACATTCATGAATTCTTTGAAAATCTTCTTCTCTGCTCCTGAGTATTAAATAAGCTAACTTAGTGCATAGTTATGATGAGCAAGAGTGCCTCTACCAAAAATGTGAAATTTATGGCCCCGGGGTCAGGGGTTCTAGTGCTAGGGTGGGGCTTAATAAGTATATAGTGAAAATGCATTATTTCTTTGAAAATCTTCTTCTCTGCTTCTGGGTATTAAATAAACTAACTAAGTGCATAGTTATGATGAGCAAGAGTGCCTCTACCAAGATTGTGAATTTTATGGCCCCAGGGTCAGGGGTTCTAATGTAAGGGCGGGCCTCTATAGATTATATAGTGAAAATTCATGAATTCTTTGAAAATCTTCTTCTCTGCTCCTGAGTATTAAATAAACTAACTAAGTGCATAGTTATGATGAGCAAGAGTGCCTCTACCAAAAATGTGAAATTTATGGCCCCGGGGTCAGGGGTTCTAGTGCTAGGGTGGGGCTTAATAAGTATATAGTGAAAATGCATTATTTCTTTGAAAATCTTCTTCTCTGCTTCTGGGTATTAAATAAACTAACTAAGTGCATAGTTATGATGAGCAAGAGTGCCTCTACCAAGATTGTGAATTTTATGGCCCCAGGGTCAGGGGTTCTAGTGTAAGGGCGGGCCTCTATAGATTATATAGTGAAAATGCATTATTTCTTTGAAAATCTTCTTCTCTGCTCCTGGGTATTAAATAAACTAACTAAGTGTATAGTTATGATGAGCAAGAGTGCCTCTACCAAAATTGTGAATTTTATGGCCCTAGGGTCAGGGTTCTAGTGTTAGGGCGGGGCTCTATAGATTATGTAGTAAAAATTCATGAATTCTTTGAAAATCTTCTTCTCTGCTCCTGAATATTAAATAAACTAAGTAAGTGCATTGTTATGATGTGCAAGAGTGCCTCTACCAAAAATGTGAAATTTATGGCCCCAGGGTCAGGGGTTTTAGTGTTAGGGTGGGGCTCTATTGTTTATATAATGGAAATACATGAATTCTTTGAAAAAATTTCTTTTCTGCTCCTAGGAATTAAATAAACTAAGTACATAGTTATGATGAGCAAGAATACCTCTTCCAAAATTTTGATTTTATGGCCCTAGGGTCAGGGGTTCTAGTGATAGGGTGGGGCTCTATTGATTACTAGTATATAGTGAAAATAAATTAAATCTTTGAAATTTTTTTTCTCTGCTCTTGGGTATTAAGCAGATGAACTACCTATGTAGGAACCTAATCTTCCAGAATTGTGAATTTCAAGGCCCCAGGGTCAGGGGTACCATAGGGGGGACTGTACTTATATACTGAAACTGGATGAATTGTTTGAGATCTGCTCCTTGGTTTTAATCAAATATTTTTGAAAAGCAAGGGTGCCTTTTCAAAAATTGTGCAATGTGTAGATCTAGGCTTAAGGGTCAGGGGTTCATGTGTGATAGGGGCATTACTGATTATTGCTGAATATTAATGATTACTTGAAATGCATTTTTTGTTCCTCCACCCTGCCTATGGGTATTAAGTAAACAAACTAAGCAACTGTTAAGTGTATTGTAATGATGATCAAATGGTGCCTCTTTCAAAATTGTGAATGCCATAGCATCTTGCTTTAAACATGAATCAAATTTAATCACTGGAAAGTTGTTGCATAATGCTCAGGTGACCTATAAGGCCCATGGGCCTCTTGTTAAAAAAAAAGATAACAAAATTATTTGATTGCACAGGTCAATGTAAAAAAGTGAAATAAACACAAGTACACATTTAGTGAAATACAACATAAACAAAATGGAGAATGTAAGACATACATGTAATATTTGCAGCAGCAACATGGTAAAAGCAGTTGGGAAAAGCAGTGTTGATATAATAGACAGGGAGTGTAAGGGGGCCAACTATATTATTTATTTTGTGAAAACTACATGGCGAAACTCTTCATTTTTATACCATATATAACTTACATTAACATCAGTGTACATGCAAAGTTTGGGGGAAATCTACCATCCAGGTATTTTTGAGGGACCGTCTCAAAATACAGGTACATTTACTTTAGGATTATAATATAGGAAAATGCCAATGTTTAACACTTTAAAGCAAATCATACAAATACTACAATAGACAATTTGTTCAAACTATAATATTTGATGAGTAATACTATAATATACAATATATGTAAGAAACACAAAATTCTACCGTCTTATAACTAGAGGGGGCATCTCAAAATGCAAAAAATTAGCAAATTTTACTATTTTTAGCTCACCTGAGCCGAAGGCTCAAGTTAGCTTTTCTGATCACATTTTGTCCGTCAACGTCTGTCTGTCTGTCTGTCCATCTGTCCGTCTGTAAACTTTTCACATTTTCGACTTCTTCTCAAGAACCACTGGGCCAATTTTGACCAAACTTGGTACAAAGCATCCTTGGGGGAATTTAAATTGTTAAAATGAAGGGACGTATCCCCTCGCAAGGTGAGATAATCAAGAAAAGACAAAAATAGGGTGGGGTCATTAAAAAATCTTCTTCTCAAGAACCACTGGGCCAGAAAAGCTGAAACTTATGTGAAAGCATCTTAGGGTAGTGTAGATTCTAAATTGTTCAAATCATGACCCCAGGGGAAGGGCAAGGCCACAATGGGGAATCAAAGTTTTACATAGAAATATATAGGAAAAATCTTTGAAAATCTTCTTCTCACGAACTACTGGGCCAGAAAAGCTGAAACTTATGTGAAAGCATCCTAGGGTAGTGTAGATATTAAATTGTTCACATCATGACCCCCGGGGGAAGGGCGGGGCCACAATGGGGAATCAAAGTTTAACATAGAAATATATAGGAAAAATCTTTGAAAATCTTCTTCTCAAGAACTACTGGGCCAGAGAAGCTGAAACTTATGTGAAAGCATCCTAGGGTAGTGTAGTTATAAATTGTTTAAATCATGACCCCTGGGGGAAGGGCAAGGCCACAATGGGGAATCAAAGTTTTACATAGAAATATATAGGAAAAATCTTTGAAAATCTTCTTCTCAAGAACTACTGGGCCAGAAAAGCTGAAACTTATGTGAAAGCATCCTAGGGTAGTGTAGATATTAAATTGTTTAAATCATGACCCCTGGGGGAAGGGCGGGGCCACAATGGGGAATCAAAGTTTTACATAGAAATATATAGGAAAAATCTTTGGAAATCTTCTCAAGAACTACTGGGCCAGAAAAGCTGAAACTTATGTGGAAGCATCCTGGTATAGGGTAGATTCTAAATTAAGTCATGACCCACGTGGGAAGGGCGGGGCCACAAGGGGGGGATCAAAGTTTTACAGAAAAATTTATAGGAAAAATCTTTGAAAATCTTCTTCTCAAGAACCACTGGGCCAGAAAAGCTGAAACTTATTTGCACATGGAGGGGTAGTTGATTTCAAAATGTCTTAATTATGATCAGTGGGGTAGGATGGGGATACATAAGGGGGAAATCTTGTAAAGAACAGAATGGTCAAAGCTTCTCAGGTGAGCGATGTGGCCCATAGGCCTCTTGTTATTTATTATTATCAAATGTGTTTAACATCCATCTCAAAGATTTTTCACTTTTATGGAAACGCCACTATCTTACTATTTTCTTTTCACTTCTGCCGTATCAGAGGCCGAAGGCTAACGAGGCTTTGCAAATTTCCCCTCAATCGTTTCATAGACAATCAAATAGTGATCAATTGATTTATTTATCTGATGTAATTACATGTACATGTAAAATATTTGGACATGTTAACACTACTATGTGATACTTTTTCCTATCTTTTCTAATTTAAAAAAAAAAACTTTTCTCTATATAGCTACAAAAAGTTTATCTTGGATGATTTTGCACAATGTAGCTAAGTAACAGCTCACGTTTTGTCTATTCCTTATCTCGATAAGATGTGGATTAGTTTAATTCTCCACGATAAATCAAAATCCTGGCTTTTTGATATAATTGACATTTGCTTTTTCAATAAAAATGGAACTCGTAAATTTACTTACTTGGTTACTAATCATTTGTGTGGTAGAGTAAGATACATGGTATCCGACTAGCTTGGGCTAGTGGGTGAACCCTTAAGCTCAATCGGTAGAGCACTGGATTGGCAAGCCAGAGGTTCCGGGTTCGATTCCCAGCAGAGGCAATAAATTGTCTCTTTTACATTCGGCGCCCAACGTGGGGCCCAGGTGTTTTCTCGCGGGTGAGAGTGATTGCCCCTAGCACTTCGCCCCACAGGTGTCGGCACTCCAATAGAGATGAGGACATCTCATTCTCTGGAGGGGGACAATGTGGTAGAGTAAGATACATGTCATCCTTCTAGCTTGGGCTGATTGGTTAATCTTTTAGCTCAATCGGTAGAGCACTGGACTGGCAAGCCAGAGGTTCCGGGTTCGATTCCCAGCAGAGGCAATAAATTGTCTCTGCTGCTTTTGCAAACTTATTTTGTTAAAACACATTCTCATTACACACATGAGTACTCTGAAGTTGACATCAAAGAGATGCTTGAGTTTTTAATATCTCTGTGGTTTTGGAGACAAGGTATTCCAATTATATATTGGAATTCCCTAGGGTACCAATTGCGCTCCGTTATTAGCAGACCTATTTTTTATATTCATTTGAAGCAGAGTTGTGCAAAATCTTAATGCTTGAAAAGAAGAAAACACTTGCTGTGGCCTTAAGCTCGATATTTAGATATATCAACGACATATTGTCAATTAACGATGGTCATTTCCATTCCTACTTTGATACGATATATCCTGGTGAGCTTGAGATAAAAGATACCACAGAGTCTGACACATATGCTACATTCTTGGATATTTTACTTGAAAAAGACGTTAATGGTAATCTAACAACCAAGTATACGATAAACGTGATGGCTTTAACTTTTTTATCGTCAACTTCCCTTACTTAGGCAGCAATATATACCTTCATCACCTGCATACGGTAAACATATCTCAGTTAATTCGATACACAAGAGCATACTCTATATATGAACAATTTCTTAAACGAGGTAAATTATCGACAAGCATTTTGATGAGACAAAAATATCAACAGTCTCGTTAAATGTCATCATTTCGTAAGTTCAATGGTCAATACAAAAAGGATATGGAGATAACGAACAGTATTCAATCTCAAAGTCCATTAAACAATGTACAAAATCAGAGCAGAGCAAACACAGACCTCCGAAACATCATAAGTGGAATCAGGTGCCATGGAGGAGTGAGCATCCCCTGCCGACCGGTCACACCCGCCGTGTGCTCGTTTTTATGATCAGGAAATAACGGAAACAATCCGTCGTCAGTTCAGTGTATAAATAATTGACTAACAATTGGTATGAAAAACGTCAGTCAGCATTTGACTCAGTGATAAATTGTATTTGCTGACAAAGTCATTGAACAATGAACTTGTCAGCAAATACAATTAATCATTGAGTCAAATGCTGAATAACGTTTTTCATTCTGATTATTATTCCATTATTTATACACTGAATGGACGACTGATTTCTCTGTAATTTCTCGATTATAAAGAAGAGCACACGGCGGGTGTGACCGGTCGGCAGGGGATGCTTACTCCTCCTTATCACCTGATCCCACCTCTGATGTTTCGGAGGTTCATGTTTGCTCTGACATTATTTTGTATTGTTTTATGGACTTTGAGATTGAATCATTTTCGCTATCTCCATATCTTTCTTAATAGATAGTTTGCATGTCTTAACCGCTGTGTAAGATCGGTGTATCATGGCAGCCTCTTTGTTTGATCGCTGTTTTGGGGAGGAGAAATTGCCATGCAATAAAGTGATAAGAGAATGTTTGAAATAAGATCCCAATTGAGAGATGCACTTTTCATAAAGCACAGATGGCAAGACCAAATGTAAACAAATAAAATGACTAAATCTGCAGTCATTTATGTTCATTTAATTGGAAAGTATCTTAAGAGCATCTGGAATTTTACTGCAAAAGAAGAACAAAAATTAAATATTTGAAGAGATAAGAGATTTTAAAGTTGTTGCTGTATTTACAATGCCAAGCATAAAAAACATTTATATTTCAGCAACTACTAAATCTGATTAAGAAATGTACAGACTTATTATAAGCAAACACATTGTCAATTTGTTACGTTAGTGAAGAAGCATGTAAGTAAGGAATTAAAAATCTAATTATCTTAACATCATAACTGTGTGTGTTTTCTGCTTATTCCATGTACTGGATCACCTTTACGTCTCCTTTTTCATATAATCCAACCCATAGGTTTCCCTCAATATCCACACTCAGTCCAAGGGGCCTAGATAGTTCACAATCATCTAAACATTTCAGAAAGTGTCCATCTTGGTTAAGAATGTGAAGGCAGTCGTTGGTCCAATCAGTTATAATGATCTGACTCATGGAGTCTGTCACTAGCTGATTAGGATCAATTGGTTCCTTCCTTTTGACTAGTGAACCATCGTATCGGAATCGGACTCTTCCTGCCTTGTCTACGACGACCACTGCCTTAGCATTGCGATCAGATGCACAGATGTCACCATTGTTGTTCTCGGCGATAAACAACATAAAGTTTCCACTTCCATAGATTTCCTCTTCATTGTCATCTTTGAATATTTCTTGTTTGATTGTCTTTCCCTGATATCGGACAATCTTATTCTGATCTCCGTTATACAGATTGACCAGCACGTCCCCTGATCTGCTACAGGTTAATCCGGCTGGTTTCCAGTCCATTGGTGTGGTGATCAGTACCTCCGTTTTACCGTCTCTGACAGTGTTAACAGTTCCATTTTCATAATCACTGTATATCAGGTCTCCCTGAATGGTTACCGAGATATCACTGGGCTGGATTTGACACAAGGTGGTGAAGGTATCCAGTAACGAACCCTGTTTGTCAAAACATCTTATAGTTCTTCCTAAACCACTAATCCATACTTTATCTGCTCCTAAAAAGGCTAGTCCATTTAAAAGGTTAACTCCAGTAGGAATCGTTGCAATTACTCTTGCTTTGTTTAGCAACGCTTTTGTGGAGGAATGGGAATCTTCATCTGTTAGACTGGAAGTAGATGTCTGTGACAATTTAACCATGTATTCTCCTAACTCTATTCTAAATTCCTTCCCTTCTACTGTGCATGCTTTCAAAGAAGGAATTCGAAGGACAACATCAATGGCTTCAGGAATGTCACTGTGTTCTGTCATTTTTGATTGATACTTGGAGACCTCAGACACTTTTAAGGACTCTAGCAATTCTTTGTTTCGTTGTAATGTCTGGATCATTTCTGAAATAGAGTTTTCAAGTTTGTCTTGGTGTGATTTCTGCACAGCCAGATGGTTATCTCTCAATGATTTGCTCAAAGAACTGAATTTGTTGAAGATTCTGTCTACTTCTTGATGCCAAACTTTTCTTTGACTCTCTGTTTCTTTTTCAAGATCAGTATATTTTTCTTTAGCCAAAGTTTTATCTTTTACTGCTTCTTCAATTTTCTTGTTAAACCTTGGAATCATTTTTGATTCTATTTCTCGAGTTTCCTTTTGGATTTCCTTGATCTTTTCTTTGAAGTTGTTTGGTATGTCTCTTATGGTGTGTCCATTATGCAAATCGATGACGCATTTCATGCAGACTGGAACATCGCACTGTTGACAGTGGGCCTCATATCTCTGACTGGAGTGAAATTTACATTCTGGTAATTTAAAGTGTGTCTTTTTGTTCTTTAAAGGAACGATGTCATGTGTCAATGTCTTCTGATTTTTGACATGTTTGTTGATACATTCCGCACATAAATTGACCTGACAGTTATTACAGAATTGTTCTGTGGACATATCGCAAAGGTCACACATAATTGCTTCTTGGGCCCAGGACAAAGGAGTGGCCATTTTATTGCTTGATCGTCAAAAGTTTAATCTGTAAATAATTTTTTTACGATGAATTTTTATATTGTATGATGATGAAGTTTGCAAATATTGAAAGCGTTATTCAAATATGTAGCTAACTCAAAATTGTTTGTTTTTATTCCTACAAATATCTTTTGATAACGCAAGCCTAAGCAAAATCAGTAATCATATATATGATGAGGTATTTCACCATTGTGTCAGCTAATTTTGATCATTGTATAAAAGCCAGTTTTCTGTAATAGGTTGCAAAATGGTAACATCTTTGTTCATGGTGAATCATTTTTGTGTGAAGCTTTTACGTTTAAATTTAGCAAGTAAATTGCTTAAAATATCACACCCTTAACACAAATTCTTAGGGTAATTATGGTTTTTGTCTTCTTCAATTCCTTTAATCAGAGTGAAATTACACCTAAAATACATTTAGATGTGAAATGCTATCAAACAGGAATAATTATAACAAATCAGAAAACATAATACCTTTGTTGTCTGAACTATTTTCCCTTTGTATTTTGATTTGTTCTCCGACACGATAACATCTAGTAAATGCTACTGCCGCCCATCCAGAGGCGACAGGATTCTTCCTGGTTTGTACTGAGTCACATATATTAGTTGTTACGATTAATTGTTTCCTGAGATGAGTGTCTGACCTCAACAAACTACTTTTAACTTCCCTTATTTAAATAATTTTTAAGGCACGTGTGCAAACAATGAATTAGTACATATATTGATTTAAAAACAAGCTATCATTTTTTAAGATAACAACCGAAACGGCTAACAAGGAGTGGATTTAGTATGAGTTATGAAATTGTTTTGAAAATGGTAACCTGTATATATCTTTGCGCCCATATACGCGCATATGATACAATAATATATCCAGCTTCAAACTGAATATGTGGAAAACGATCAGTAATATTTAGGAAGTAATGTATCATTTTTACCATCTATCGGGATATAAATACGGGTTGGTCACGAGATCAAATTCCATGAAGAAGTAAGACTTTATGGCGAACTTGATATCGTACCAACCAGTACTTTGTTTTAAATGACACTTTATTACTTTTATTTATATTTGTGACATTCATATTTTATATTTGCTTAAGTATGATATTAATCGCTGCATCGTTATCGCGCCATCGCAATATAGTGCCATTAACCTTGAAGTCAATTTTTTTCTCGATGGTGCGATAGCTTCACTAGTGACATGTCCCTTTTGGACATTCAGCAAAGAGGTAAGTGTTGCATTAAGGTCAGAGAAGACGTTCCTCAAAATCTGTTTTGTATATCTTCGTAATGTATGAAAAATATTTAAAAGTTTAATAGCATTCTGATTTCTAAACCAGTTTCTAAACGTTTTTTAAAAAAATCCAAACGCTTAAAAATTTGAAATTGGAAAATTATTTTTCTTCCCCAAAGGATATATAAGAAAAAGTACCCCTGGTATCTTGCAGAAATGCCTGGTAAAATACCTCAATTTTTTGTGAGTAAACATGTTTTAGTAGCAATACTTAAATGACAACCTCCTAGAAAACATTATCTATTATTAAGGAATGTATCGTCTGTCCTTTTTATGTGATCATATAGATACAATGATGTATGTAGATGCACACGCAAAAAAATGGAAAGAGATGCTTATTTTTACATGGTAAAAGATACGGTTCGGAAGCAATTAAATAAATAAGTCCAAAACTTTGAAATGATAATACAAATCTACTTTTGAATTTGAAAAGATTAATATGATACGTATTAAAATCTTAATTGACATTGATAAAATAAAAAAGAGAATTACATGTTCTTTAGTAAGGAAAGCTTAAGGTAAAAGATTTTTATCTCTTTTGAATCCGGAATGTAAAGTATGTGTGTTAAATTACTTTATCATATATGTATTTAGAAATAAAAGAAAATAATGCGATAAGCTTTTAATTGCTCTTAGGTATTCCTGGAAAGTTTCCGAGACAAATATACTGTAGATTCCTTATTTTTCGCGAGTACTTTTTATCGCAAATGGGCTCTTTAACAGCAAATCGCGAGAATAAGAATTCGCGAATGGACGGTTGATCAAGAGTTTTAACATAGATTTCAGCACCATAAAAATAAAGGCGAGTAATTTAATTTCGCATGTGTTGCTTTTCGCAAAATTACGGGATTATTGATTCCACGCGTTTATTTAGGAATCTACAGTAGTTCAAGAATTCACATATACAAGGGTCCTTTTAAAAGTTCGTAGACTTTTGTTCTAATTTTTTCTATATAACTCCATATAATATCCAAATTCGGCTCACAAATTTTGCCAACGAATTCGAATAATTTGAGTAAAAAATTGGAATATATCTTCATTTTTTTAAGAATTATCAAAGATTTAGAACAGCAAAAATGAAGTCACGGAGCAACATCAAAATTGAGTATTTTACTAATTATCACTTTATAGTAGCTATAGCCATACCTCTAATGAAAAGAGTTGAAACGAAATAAAATTTACATGTTAAAATTAAGTATTGCTGGATTAATTAAAATGCTATCAGGTGATGCAATATATATAGCTCGGTTTAAAATATAACAGTTTCTAAATACATATGGACCTGAAAACAGCGAGAAAACATGGCCTTGGAGGACGTAACGGAGCAGCGAGTAGCAATTAAATTTTGCTTTGAATTCATGAAACTTCTTTAAAAAACTTTAAAAATTCTGTATAATCCAAAAAATGTATGAAAATAAGACGTGCATTTGTATAAAATGGAAAATACAAATTTTGAGTGGTAGCGAGTTTGAATTGGATGATGGATGGTCTGCAAAGAAATAGGTTATAGTAAAAAAAATCTTGTTAAAAGAGATAGGAACGTCGTCATTAAACGTGATGTGTGCGTCATAATTGCGGAACTTAACTAATAGGTTTATGCGGAAAAGAGTTTGAAAACATTGATAATCTAGTTCAAACTATTTTCACAATTGTTAGCAAACTAGGTATCAAGTGTTATGGATATGCTTTAATGAAAGGAGAATACTTAAAATCCGTGTATGACATTGAAAAGCAGATTGATTTTGAGAAACTTTCTTAATATTTTTTTTGTTACAACATTGGTTAACCGTGCTCCGTGGTAGCAAAACATTTGCTTTTAAAATTGGCTAATATGAGTTCTATTTAATCAAATGTAATGAAACTTCACACATTGACAAAATAAATGTTACTTTTTACGAAAATGTATTGATCTATAATACTGTAGTAATAATGTGACGATGGGGAACATTGTCTACGTATTTTTTGAATGACCCTCGTAGATGTGTTTTATAGATATGATTAGGTGAAGTACATGATAATTTGAAACCTAAAAGAATAAGCGCCCTGTTCAGCTAGCATTCATTCATTTGCAATAAATCGTGTATGCGTATATCTATAAAGAGTTTGAAATCTTTAAGAATAATATTGCTTACGATGTGAAAACAGTTACCCAAATTGACAGTTTTGTATCATTTCCTTCATCATCAGATAAAGCATTTGATGCCAAATTGCATATCTGTATCACAGATTAAATTTTGTATATTTCCGTTTCTTATTTTATGAAAAGTCAAATAAAGAGGGTAGATAGGAAACCCAGGGTACTAATATTATAAAGTAATTTAACAGCAAACATTGAAATAAGTTATACTTGATGCTATAAAATTTGGGAAGGTTCCCTGGAAGAATGAGAATCATTAAATATTGTCTGGAAGAAAAAGGGTTGATCTTAATTTTGTGATGTCAGTTTTGATATTCCATTAGTAAGGTTCTGGTTACTTATATGTGTAATAAAACAGATCATTTGATAAACCTAAGAAATTCTTTTTAAATGAAATAAAGCCAATGTCATATTTAAAAAAAACATTTAACATGATCTAAGTTGAATAAAAGTCATGCAGATGTTTTATGTCTTGTGTATTTGGGACATTTAATTGAAACGTATGGAGATAATGAACGGTATTCAAGTTCAAAAGTCCATACATTTATACAAAATAGGAGCAGAGCAAACACGGACTTGCAAAACATTAGAGGTGGGATCAGGTGCCATGGAGGAGTGAGCATTCCCTGCCGACAAGTCACGCCCGCCATTTGCTCTTTGTCATGATCCAAAGAATAACGTAAACAGAGACCCATGGTATACATCGATCACCTGAGTAACGTTTGTCATTCTGTTTAATGACAGATGATACAAACATTTGCCAAAAAAATCGAAAATAACAATTTGAGTCTTGCTTTAAGCAAAGATGATAAAAAACATTTTTTTTCTTTAGAGGAGACTTAATATCATGGCACAGGTGTAGAAAAGTGGATGAAACATATGGAGATAACGAACAGTATTCAAGATCAAAGGTCCATTAAACAAGATAGGAGCAGAGCAAACACGGATCTCCCAAACATCAGAGGAGTGAGCACCCCCTGTCGACCGGTAACACCCGCCGTGTGCTCCTTGTCATGATCGGGAAATAACAGAAAATCCGTTGTCAATTCAGTGTATAAATAATGGACTAACAATGAGTATGAAAAACATCAGTCAGCAATTGACTCAATGATAAATTGTATTTGCTGACAAGGTCATTGTATCGACCATTAAACTTACAAAATGATGACTTTAAACGAGACAGCTGATGTTCTTGTTTCATCAACTTGTTTGTCAATAATTTACCTCGTTTTAGAAATTGTTCATACGTAGAGCATGCTGTTACGTATCGAATCAACTGAGATATATAAACTCCGTATGCAGGTGATGAAGGTATATTGCTGGGTAAGGGAAGTTGACGATAGAAAAATTAAAGTCATCACGTTTATCATATAGCTTGGTTGTTGGATTACCATTAACAGGTCGAGATCACTACCTTATATGGAAGGCAATTTCTAACACGTGACGATATCTTCGTCACACCCGTTCACCAATCAAATGAATGAGTCCGAAAGCTTGACACTCTACTACGTGTTTACGATTCAATGGCGACACGTGATTTTCGTCGGTTTCTGCATAATATTCAATTCGTCACCGGAAAAACTGTAGAGCTTCTTTGTCACTTTACAAGTCCGAAATTGAAAGATTACATTCTCAAGACATTGATCCATGCTCACATTTAATATTGGAGTTGTTTTATATGATTTATAATTGCTTCGAAAATTCGAATGATATGCAAACGCTTTGGTGTTCGCATGTATAGTAAAAACTTTCTGCTAATATTTAGGGGTTCAATAATAATAGCGCACCTTGTACTGCTATCTAAAACTATGTACACGTATATCACGTGAAAAAAAACTCGATGCTTTATCGACACGATAGCACTGTTACAACGCCAAATGTATTAACAACGCGAAATGTAATATACCTGGAGTATAACATATTTTGTAATTACATTTTGCGTCGAAATCAACGCAGAATGTTATAACGCAAAATATAACAACACACTTTTGAGAATTATTACATTTTGCGTTATTAAATTTTGCGTTGATCTCGACGCAAAATGTAATTGCACAAAATGTAATAAGCCGGGTTTATTACATTTCGCGTTGTTATTACATTTTGCGTTGTAATATAGCACCTACATGTACGTCTCTTCGAACAATGGTTTAGGCCGATGTATTATAAGTTGATATATCAGGCTTCATAAAGCAAATTTTGTAAATGTGATC